GACAGAGCCCTCAACTCACACACATAAACCTGCTGCACTCAGCAAACATAACGCAGGAGATGGAAGAGCAGCTAATACACAGATGGACAAATGATCAGAATGAATGGATGTATAATATGTTTAATAAAAATACTCAATGTGTTTTAGAAGGTGCAATGTTCCTAAATGAGATGCATCAGCAAAAAGTCTTTAAGTGACCGCTAACCTTGTTTTGATGCTACTGAAAGGTGAAAATTCATGGCTGGATCTTATGACATCTTTTGAGGTTAGTAGAAGGGGAAATAATTTTGTAACTTGTTAGGGCATATTTACTAGGGCACTAATCAACTTAACCACCTCCCGCAAAGCTGCTGGAGCTGGAGTCTGCTCAGCATCAGAGCTGCCTAAATTTAGCCATTAGCGAGACTATAATAGACTGCGTTCAAAGGGAAAAAGGAAAACACAGGGCAAAGCAGGTGAACCTACTGTCCTACATTAGTCAGTATTAAAGGAAAAAAAATCCCTAAAATACAACTAATTTAAAACAAATTAAATTTGAAGGCAAACAATGTTTGCATAACAAAAGTGAATAAAGTTTTATAAAGAAAAATAAAAAACACACTAAACCATTGCAAAAATCTGATTTAACTAATGAATTTAAAGTAACAGACTGGCAATAAAAGAACTGAATTCACTCTAAACATGTTCAAAAACATCTTAAACAAATCATTTGCCAAAATTACTATAGTGTGTTTGCGACAACAAAAAAAATGTAAAAACAAATAATAGAAATAATAATTGCAGTAGTAGTTATAATAATAATAATAATAATAATAATAATAGTAGTAGTAGTAGTAGTAGTAGTAGTAGTAGTAGTAGTAGTAGTAGTAGTAATAATAATAAAAATAATAACAATAATAATATTCGGACTAATAATTTTTAAACAGTGATTATCTTGCAAAAGTTTATTACATGTATTATGCTCGCAACCTTGCAAATGTCAACCTTGCCATAAAATTTTTTCATCAAAACATAAAACCCTTTCCAGGTTTTTGGTATAGGCTTGTGTTTTACAGTACTGTAAAAATACTCAAGACTGTTTCTGCCAATGTTTCTGAACAATTAATGATGATTTACCAAAGTCGCACAAGAAGCAATTTCGGTCACAACCATAGCGAAACTCTTTCTTCATAGTAAATGCAAAAATATAAAAATAAATGCTATAATTTTTGTTCTATAGAGAACAAGCTCTTATCCTTTTGATTAGCATTATTTCTTTTGGATTGTGCAGTTTTAATTAACAGAATAAACTTGCAAACTTTTATGGCCACATCCATAAACCATGTTTATTTGCCTCATTTAAAAAATGTTTACAGATTGATATTTTGATATTCTGATCCCATAACTAATAATTAGTTGTTTTGGAAAATATAAACAGATGGTTAATATAATGTTAACATATACTTTCTATGTGAGTTTATGTTTTGAGATTTTACTGCAAATGTCACATCCATAACGGTAGAATTGATCATGCCTAGCCGCATGGACATATATATGAGCAATTCCATGCGTCAACCTTGCCATGAAAAAATTTATTTTTCGGCAAAATAGCGAAAACATTTCTCCGTTTTTTTGTGCAAGCAAGTATTTTACAGTGCTTTAAAAACACTACACAATTTCTCTGTCAGTGTTTTCAAACAATTATATTTAATTTACCAAAATCACAAAAGTGGGAATTTTACATGTCACATACATAACGGAGAGATGTCACATCCATAGAGGAGCTTTTTCCTCAAAAATGTGTAAAAAAATGTCAAATAAGAAGAGTACGATAACCGTGTTCAAAGTATACTGCAGTTTGGAAGTCAATGTTTTAAAACCACCAAAATTTTGTGTAATACCTTTCCTAAGATATGTGTAAGATTTTTTATTTACGTTTTTTTTTTTTTTTTTAGGACAACAGTATCTCCAGCAGAAAAGATCTCCAAAGATGCTGATTTAAATTGTAAAGAATCAGTGTTTTTGAAACTAATGAAGACAGCAGAAGTCAATCATTGATTTTCATCATTAAGCGTGACATGTTTTTACTGCACCAAAATATTTTAAATCTTGCAAAAAATACAATATATTGTTTTCAAAGGGGAAAAATATTAGTTTTTCTTACCCAGACGTTTAAAAAGGATATATTTTAGAACAGTAACCCCAATGCTGTGATATTTTTATCCAAGGTTATCATACCGTCAGAATCTTATACCGACCCATGCCTAATGTCAAATAACATAAAATCAATCGTTTTTGTTCTATAGAGAACCAACTTTTATCCTTTTGATTAGCATTATTGCTTCTGGGTTGTGCATTTTAATTCACCGAATTTCTACAAAGTATGTTGTACACTGTAAACTCACTAACTTTTTTGGTCACATCCATAACGCATGTTTACTTACCTAATTTAATATGTGAAAATGTTTACAGATTGATGTTTTTCTGCTTCCAAAACTCGCTGTTCGGTTGTTTTGGAAAATATAAATAGATGTTTCAATAAAATGTGAACATGTACTTTCTCTGGGAATTTATGTTTTGAGATTTCACTGCAAATGTCACATCCATAACGCTGGAATCCTCATTTACAGTTCATGTTTGCCATGACCTTATTCAAATCAATGAAGAGTTAACAATTTTCCTCATTACAGATCACACTCACAGTACATTTAATATTATATTTACAAAACACTTCATCTTACAAACCAATTAGTTGTATTGTTGCATCAACCCTGTCAATAAAAACTCATGTCTGTTATCAGACTGTTAATTTAAAAAAAAATTTAAATGCAGTCTAAAGTTTCCCAGAGGTCCTGTATTTTACCATTTACACAAGCACATCCATAAATCTGAGTGGGTATATTCACCTAGCTTAATCCAGCTGGTGACAGACTGTCAAAGAGATATGAGTGCATTTGACCATTTCCACAGCTTGAGATTTCTTACTGTCACAGTTCCTGCATTAACAAAAGCTGATGGCATCCCATAGAAGAACGTTTGACTGAAGACAAAGCGAATACGCACAATGGAAACGGATGATGTTGCACTCCCAGAGGAGACATCAGATACACACACACACAGAGGCCACTGCCCTTAAAAAATGCTGTCTTCTGTGTTCGGACAGTGTTTGATATGACAGCAGATGTGAAGTGCCACTAATCTAACGTTAACACTCACAGCTGGTGGACCTCGATTCAAGACTGCTCGTGTTTCATTTTAAATACACAAACGGCACCAATACGCATTAAACACAATAAATGACTTGTATGTAGATATGCATCTATAAATACTACCGGTTTCAAGCTTATATTCCTCTCACGAAGCGGTCAGTATTGCAATAATCATGACAGGCCTAGTTATAGCGGCACATGAACTCATGTCTATCAGAAGCTAGCCAGGTGGCTAACGGTGTGTGTCTCCCACACTGTCAAGACAACAAACGCCACGCTCGTTCAGCTGTTAACAGACTCCGTGTTACGCGGTCAATCGTGGCACAACTTACCCGTCATCTCCCTTATTTTTCTGTTTCTTTCCCATTTTGTGAGTATGGCTGTAACCTCCTCGTTGCGGTGCAGTGTACGGTGTTAGCGCTTCAAGTTGGTCGTGGTCGCATTGCGCATGCGCATTTGACATTGAGTAATCGGGTTCCGCGGCCTTAGCCCAAATCTGTAGCGCATGCGGATTGTCTGTTAAACTACACAAAAAAGAAATAGTTGAAAGCGAGTATGACATCATTTGCTCATAAATAAAGTTACTCTTTTGCTGTGTTTAACATACCAAAAAAAAACATAAATTACTAAACTAAGTCTATTTGTGATTATTAAAGTCATAACATAAGCCATCCAAATGATATACTAGTCTGGGTAGCACTGCCCGGAAGAACTTGACATGACCACTTGCGTATGGAAATTTTGCTAAAAGTTTAGGAGAGACAGCTAATAATTATCATATTTATTCCACCTTTATATCATATATATATATATATATATAAACAAACACTTTTTAAACACTTTTTTAAAGTGTTGATTGTTAAATCATACTAAACGTTCACTATTTTAGGTCCTTGCCAGAATAATAACATTTTTTTTATTTTAATTTTTTTTATTAAACTCTAGACAGTCAAAGGTTTACATAGATTTCTTTGGTATATTTAGCTTTGCTTTTAAACTGTATAACTTTGGTCAAATGTTTTGGGTTTCCTTCCACAAGCTTCTCACAATAATTTGAAGGAATTTTGGCCCATTCCTCCAGGCAGAATTGGTGTAACTGAGTCAGATGTGTTGGCTGTTTTGCTCGCACAAGCTTTTTCAACTCTGCCCACAAAGCGCTCACACCTTGAGCATGTGCAGTATATGTACAGAACGTTCCATTATTCATACGGGCCCCTGGATTTGAAAAAAGTAATGACATTAAAATCAATTATAGACAGATTTTTAAAAGAGCTGTATGAATATTATAGGCTTCTTGGCATTGGTTGGGGCCCCCTGATTCCCCGGGGCTCTAAGCAGCTGCTTAGCTTAGTTTATGGTTAAGTCCGCCCCTGTCTATATGTATTATTTAATTAAATATTAAAATAAAAATAGAGTGAAGATATTATTACTAAAATGTACATACAAATGATAGGTTTTAATTATTTAATTACTATTATATAATTATTTAACATTAATAAAACAATAATAATACATTAACACATTTGTAATTATTAAACTAAGCATCAATTAAAATCTTAATACTATTTTATATTTAATGTTTATAATATAAAACAAAAAGACCTTTGAAATTATTACTATATGTGAATTATATCTATATATTAGTAGTTTCTGTGTGGTACTTAAGATGTATTTTAATTGAACTGAACATTAAAGTAGTAGCCAATTCTTTTTTGATATGAAAAATCTGTATTTGCGTATAGAAAAACTATTTGCAGGAGAACACTTTAAAGTGAATACCCACTGCTAATGAAACAAGTGTCACAGAAATGATTATATCTTCCCTTTTATTCACATGACAGAAAGCATTTCTTCACACAATCTATGAATCTTCTCAGCAACATTGTCTGTCATTGACCGAGTCCTCATGAATGCAGCCACCAGCACCGCAGTTTCATTTGGACAGTATCTGCTGCCTTTCAGAGTTGATATAAGCTCATTCACAATCTCTGGAGAAAGCCAGTCTGCAGGGATTTCCAAAGCACATCGCTCCACAGTACCATTCCTGACATCCATATCAAGCTTAATATTCACATCATCGACAACTAAAGCTGTGCAAACACTGAACTTTGGGGTTTTGCCATAAATCCACTCCCATGTCTGAAGATCATGTGCCATCTTATGAATGCCAGGCATGAGAGCTTCATGAGTGGGGTCAACTGTGATGACAGGACTATCAAAGCCAAATTCACTATTATACTGGGAAGCAATAGCCTCCATGATGGTGCTGGAATCAAGAGTGGGATCCACTTCTAGAAGGTTCTTGACAGGGGAAGGGACACTTGGGGTAGCATTGCTCTTGATAACCTCAGCAGTGTTACTCTTTAGCACTGAAGACAACACTGAACGGTCAACAGAGCACAGTAATGTACAGTGATGATAAGCAGAGCTCCTGCCTAACTTTGCAGCAGTGCCTGAAATCTTGTAATGGCCGTTTAATAAAATGTCAAATCTATCCGTCGCGGCGACGTCTAGATTAGGTCTCAGAGCTTTTAATGCACTTGTAACCACTTTGAGATTCCTGTGACGGTCGTATTTCTTTTTGGAGGTGAAGAAGGTCATGTTAATGTTTCCAAAGTCATGGAAAACCGTCCCGCCTCCACTGCGCCGCCTCGCCAGCGGGATCCCCAACCGTCGCGTCGCGGGAAGGTTGCACTCCTGCCAGGGGTTTTGGTGTCTTCCGATGACCACAACAGGAGAGTTTCTCCACAACAACAGCAAGCTTCTGTTCTGCAGATCAACGTGGTCGTGTATCCAGTCTTCTAAGGCTAGGTTCTCGAATATGCCAGATGATGCAGATTTTAGGATGATTCCTGATTTTCCCAGATCGTCGAAGAAAGACGCCAAAGTGCTTTTGAGGCGAACTGATCCTGAGAGGACACATGCCCTGCTTGACAGTCTCAAAATCATCGCTATTAAAAGTCTGTAACGCACTAAAACACATGTGATTAATTTATAATTGTGTGTAAATAATGACAATAATAAAATGTTCGGGCTTTACATTTCGATGTGAGCAGTTTATTTGACTGTCTGCAGCTACGGCGTACTTTGACTGCCGGGTCAACAGGATTTTCTCAAAGCATAATAAAAGTCCTGTACGAGGTATAAATAGGTGATTAAAAACTTTAATATATTAGGCCTACGTGTGTGTAATAAATGCAAATAAAATTGTAAAAACGTACTAAGTACCTGAAAAAGTTTTATTAGGTAATCCCTCATTGAATGGTGAAATGTGGTCGCCGTGTTCTCTTATTTTGGCAGGCTGTTCTGACTATAATAATTATTTAAATAAAACTAGCTCACATTGCTAGTTTTGTGGTGAACATTTCACCTGTGCATGTTTTTCTATGCATGTCATTTAGAAAAAAAATAGTTTGCCCTTCTTTTGCCTTAATAGTTTGCCTTAATCTTTTCAGTTAAATTATCAGATTACGTGAGTTTAATGTATTAGGCGTGGCTAACATACTTAACCACGCCCTCCAACTGTCAGTTTTGGTAAAGAGGTGAAGAAATGATATTTCTGGATGAAATGCCTACTTTACTACATTCATTCAGCCCGCGGTAAAAAAAAAAAAAAAAAAAAAAACGCAGCACTAGGTGGCACTATTTAATTCCCAATGCATAATGCTGTTTGCCTTCTGTAATGTGATCAGTGCAAAATCCATGGTACTTCTTACCAAACTGTCAATGAATAAAATCCAGAATGAGATTAGGAAATTACGAAATTTAGTCAACATAAAAGATTTAGATTTAGCTTTATACGTGAAGTGAATAGTTTTGAACAGCTGTGAGCTGAGACGCATTACTTCACACCACACTGCTTTGGTTTATATACAGTTGAAGTCAGAATTCTTAGCCCTCCCTGATTTATTAGCCCCCGTTTATATTTCTGTTTGACGCAGAGCAGATTTTTTTTTCAGCACATTTCTAAACATAATAGTTTTAAGAACTCATTTCTAATAACTGATTCATTTTATCTTTGCCATGATGACAGTTAATAATATTTTACTATATATTTTTCAAGACACTTCTATACAGCTTAAAGTGACATTTAAAGGGTTACCTAGGTTAATTAGGTTAACTAGGCAGGTTAGGGTAATTAGGCATGTTGTTGTATAACGATGGTTTGTTCTGAAGACTATTGAAATTTTTTTTAGAAAAAATTAAAACCGCTTTTAATCTAGCCGAAATAAAACAAATAAGACTTTCTCCAGAAAAAAAAATATTTTTAAACATAATGTGAAAATTTCCTTGCTCTGTTAAACATCATTTGGGGAAGAAAAAATCAAAGAAGGGCTATTATTCTATAATTCTGACTTAAACTGTGTGTGTGTGTGTGTGTGTGTGTGTGTGTGTGTGTGTGTGTGTGTGTGTGTGTGTGTGTGTGTGTGTGTGTGTGTGTGTGTGTGTGTGTGTGTGTGTGCGTGTGTGTGCGTGTGTGTGCGTGCGTGTGTGTGCGTGTGTGTGTGTGTGTGTGTGTGTGTGTGTTTGTGTGTGTATGCTGAAATCTATAAGTAAATATAAGTTAATCACACATTTATTTTCCATGTATTTATTATAAGATTGAATACTTTAAGGTTAAATTAAACAATATTATATCAGACTAAGAGCTTTTATTAAAATTAATGAATTTAATTGCAGAAAAAATGTTGACATGTTTGTATCAACATTAGTATACAATAAATAATATTATTACATTGTCAATAAAAAAGAGATACAAGAGAGAGAGAGACAGACAAAATAAATAATAAAGAAGATGAAATAAACTTGAGGGTAGGACATTTGAGAGTAAATTACAGCATATTGATTAAAGTCATTACAAAATGAAATAGTTCTGTTTGCTTACATATTTTAAGATATTAAATTGTATTTAAATAATGACTACATTCTTGCAAAAGAAAAACAGGAAAATATGGTTTGGTTTTAGTACATTTGTGGATGTGGAATTTACAAAGAAAATAAATTACATTTATAACAAAAACATTTCTTTTAGTAGAGACCGATTTAGACTGAGAGCTAAAGGACAGAACATTTTGTAAATAACACTGGGGGAGGGAATCAGCGCGAGTCAATTTCCTGAAACCTAATTGGTCAGCTTGTCGTCCCTGATTGGCTGCTGCACTAAGTAGGCGGAGTCTACGGAGAGCTGTGGACGGATGTTTCCGGTATGACCGTTGTTTGACAGACCAGGACGGACCGTCGCTTTCAGGTATGGACATCAACCAAACATTATCCACAGTTTACTGACCATCCGGATTATGCGACGGCACGTTTTGTATTCCGTGTTACTTTATTACGTGTGTACATCGAGAGTTTCCCGGCTGAGGTCGCTGATGGTGCGTTGTGTTGTCCAGCCGAGGTCACCGCACAGCATCACCGCCTACAGCAGCCCGCCGAGCAGATCACTTTACAACCCAGAATGCAGAGAGAAAACATCAAGACCTGAATCACATTTTTTCAATACCAGACAGACATTGTTATTGGCTTATAACAAGCTCATTGGTTTAGCCTCAATTTACTGGCGTCCTGGGTTGATTTGCTGACATGTTTAACCCATGGTCAGCTGATGAGACCGTCCATGTGATGCTCTTTCGCTAACTGTTAGTCCGACAACTGATGACATGCTCTGTTTGTCACATAACACACGGATGAGTATGAATGAATGATGTCTCGTAGACTCTGGTTTCTCAGGTATAATGTGCATGTGGCCTACAGCATGTGACAGTCTCTGGGCAGTGGAATATACAGATCTGTATTCAGCACCAGACAGCTTCAAGTTTGCAGCAGTCACTTTTAATGAATAGAGTACACTTTACTGAGCAGACGTGCTCATTCTATTAAGTCTGTGTACGGCTTAATAAGTTAGTCAAACTTTAAGTTAAATTTATGTAGTTTGAAAAGTAGCTAATTTTGAACACATCAAATGCTTGTGTAAAACCATAGTTTAACTTTAACTTTTAAACGTGCTCACCCTGAGGACATACGATAAATGATATAATAATAATAATAATAATTATTATAATGTAATTACATATTAATAATAATGATGATAATATTTTATTATTACATAATATTTTAGCTGAAACCTTAGTTCATAGCAATTCATAAAATACAAGTAAACTACTACTGCCACGTTAAGCATTGAACAAATGTATACTGAAAAATCTAAATTTAATACCAGGAGCTTCTGATGATAAATTTAGTTTTTTAAGTGAAATATGATTAGTTTGTGAAGAACATGTAACAATTTTTAACATTATTACCCACAATATATAACATTTTCAGACAATGACAAACTTTAGCACAAACTTACATGTGAGCTTTCGCTTTTAAAATTTTTTATTATTTTAATTTTTTTGCTTTTTTCTATTGGTTGTATCATCCAGGATAAACACTAGTACCATTCAGATGAATAATACAACGCACATCCTCCTTCATTGAGTCAGCTTGTGTATGAGTTTTTGCTCTTGCGTATAGATATTTTGATTAACCAACACATTAATGTATAATTGTACGTTTTTTTAAATTCTTATTTACAACACAGCTTTGAAAAGTGTGTATTAATTTCCCTGATATTATGTTAGAAAAATTAGACAGAGATTCATCCAAATTATTATTTCACTAAAATTGCGATGCAAAATGAAAATTTAAATTTAATCAAAGCCCAAAAAGTTTTGATGATTAAATGCAGATAATTGAACTTAGTTAGGCATGGGATGATAACAGTTTTTAAGGTTTATTGTGGTTGTAAAACACTGAATCAGTGCCCAGAAGCCAGCACTAAACAAAAGACAATTGAAAAACCGTGTGGCATTTGACAAGGCCCATAGTCTGCTAAATGGATGTACACTGGAAAAGTGGTAGAAGGTGGATTTTTTCAGCTGAATCTTCTGTTGAATTACACCACAGTCGCCGTAAAAATTGCAGGAGACCTACTGGAGCCTGCATGGATCCGAGATTCACCCAGAAAACAGTGAAGTTTGTTTTAATACTGCCAAACAATCAGTTTTACCATTCTTAAGGTATATGTAAGTTTTTTTATTTTTTTATGTGTTGTAAAGAAATCTGTGTTTTTGAAACTAATGAAGAGAGCAGAAGTCAATGATTTATTTTAACTATTTAGGCTGACATCTTTACTGTCCAAAATATTATAAAAGTTTCTTAAAATAAAGTACATTTTTGTTTAATGCAGATTTTTGTTTTGTTTTGTTTTATTCTTTGTTTGAACCAGACATTTAAAAATAACTTATTTTAGAGCAGTAATCACAACACAGAGAAACCGTTGTGTTTTTATCCACAGTTATCATAACATCAGAAACTACCAGCCCATGCCTAAACTCAATATGCTCTTCGACTAGTTCTAATTTAGTTCATATAAATATTTTAACCCTATCATTAATTTTGAAGGTGAAATTAACCTTCACAATTGACAAAAAAACATTTTAGCTAGCCAAAATTTCTAAATCCTTTTGAAGCTGACTAGCAATTAATACATACTTTCTTATACTGACCACATGTAAAATCAACAAATACAGAAAATATAATTTTTTTAGAGTTTCATTCAGGAATTTATACTCTATTCATGGAAAGTGCCAGCAGTAGTTTCCATCAAAGTCATGCATGAGTCGCCTTTGTCGCAACTTTAAATTTCTATTGTTTACTGCTGAACTTGTTGTGCTTTGCATTGAAGCATAACCAGTTCTCGTGGAATCATTGCAATTGTATTTGTCACTTGGGAGGATTTGAAACAAAACCATGTCTGTAAACGTGCGTCTTTTCTTGTTCTCTCATGCTTAAGGGCTCATACTAGGAGCATTGTTATCTGAGGACAATGGCTATTAGAAGGTGCTCATTAGGGAGTAACGAACACTGACGTTTCAGCTTTTCTTTCTCTTTCCCTCATCATTATTGCCTCTCTTGTCATTCTATAGCCTGTTATTGAATGTCAGGAGTTTTTCAAATGCTATCCCTCCCTGTCTATCATCAATTACAATCACTCCCTAGGCCTATTTCATCTGTATAAACAGCAAATCTCTGATCCACTACAGCCATTACCAGTGTGTTTCATACACACTCAGA